ATTTGTATTTGCAGATACATTCTATTTTGTTCAAAAAGCACACAATTTATAGACAGTCAGTCAATGTGGCATCTTATAAAATCCTACTTTAGAAATAAAACCAGTCTGACTCCCACCTAAAACACAAACAGATTCTAAACAAGGCCTCACACCTAACATGCATTGTCTGACCTAAAATATCACCTCTTCTTTACACTGATAAAACCTTTAGTTCTCTCAGGACAGTGACTTGAAAGGAATTTAGGGATTTACATATACATATTGATCAATTAAAACCTTCTAACTGATTGAAGATTTAACAGTATTTTAGGTTTGTTTAAAACATCCTCATCAGTGGTGTACCCGTTGATCTTTTACTTATAAATTCTGCGTCTGATACTGTCTCTCCCACTAAAACCTGCAGGAGGAGTAAGGCCTTGAAAGTTTGTGTTTTCAAATAAGCCCTGTTGGACTATAACCTGGTTTCATGTGATTTGTGACCTTGTCCACCCCAGTCCAACACTAGCACCTCCACATCATGGCTAAGATACCTTTCAGATCTCAGCCAGAGTATTGTATACAATTATGGGCACCACACTTTGGGAAAGGATGAAAGAGCAATTAGAAAGGATGGATTTAGGGATTGTACTACTCCAGTGGGCTGCCTGGTCTCCTGTCCTGTGTTCTAAGATTAAATAACCAGGAGTGTGTTCTGGGACATCCTCATACTTAAAGCTTAACACTCACCACCCACACCCTGACTCAGTCATCGGAGGTCACAAGCAATAACAAAATGAAAGAAGATAAGAACAGGAAATGTTGTGGAGATTCAGTTCTGTTTATTAAACACCAGTTGAAGGTAGAACGTGTCCCGTAGTCTTTGCAGAGCTAGAACTTCCGATCTTCCTCGTGTGAACAGCCAGTGAGTTGGGAAAATGGGAATAGTGGCAACACTATGTCTCTACATAAACCACATGGATTACCACCACCTTCTTGAGGGTAACTGGGCATTTGGCACTGACTGTTGTCTGCACCAGCAATCTTCACATCCAATAAATAAATCCAAGTCGATGAGACCATGGCCAGATCAAGTAATGCAGCCACATTAATGAAGAGATGAATAACTCTTGGAATGTGTGAGATATTGTATTATGATCCTCTTTACTAACTCACTCACAAGTGCTCTATGTTTACTGTACTGCATTTCCATTCACTCACTCATAAAACTGCGTTAAATTAAACATCCCTTCCAACCCATTACTCTTCCTTACACCTTCCAATTCTTATTGACCCCATGCTTCAAGCAGCGTTTAGACCTGTTTCTGTATCAAAGGTTACCCGTGAATAAGTCTTAATACCGTAATCTACTCAGAACAATGCTATCCCACCGTCATGTCTCCATAACTCACTTGAAACTATGGAAAGATTATAATATTAATTAGCCCTTAGCAACTGTCTCTCGGGACCTGAACAGGTTGCAGAACATCAAACAGTTTTCTCTACTAGTCTGTACTTTTTAAATACATATTAAATAGGGCCACTACCCCTTGAAGAAACTTACTACCAAAACAGTAGTTCTGTGAAACTGCATAATTGAATATGCAAAAACTGTCAAAAACTGTGGGAGATCAGTTTGGTATCCTCTATACTTATATTTAGTACACATATAATTTCTCACTTATTTAGATCATATAGATCTAGTATGTTCACTAACATTACTAACTTTAAAGACAAAAGGACTAACACTCTTAATTATGCAAGCTCAGGCCTGACAGATATTCTAATCCAATGAGGAGTAACAGCCAGCGTTGAGCAAGTGCTTAAACCGTCTCCTGCTTCCCCAGATGTCACCCAAACTTGTGTATAATAGGTACAACTATGTGACACCATAATCCTAAAATCTTAATGTATGTAAAAACTATGTATAAAAGAGGCTACTGTAAAACTGCACTTTGGATCCTATTTCTGCTTTGAACTGTGCTACTGAGGATGCTCAATAACGGGGCTATTTTCACCACTCACTGATCTTGGTTATTATTGAACATGATCCCACAGATGTATTTAAGTACACTACTGATCTTCAGCAAAGCAGTGGACATGGAATCTTATTCTATCAGCACTTACAGCTGAATGCTAATCAGTTCCTACAAACGTGACACCTCCAACAATGCAGCACTCCCTCAGTACAGCACCAGGGTATGTCAGCCTAGACTACGGGTTCAGATCCTTTCATCGGGGCTCGAGCTCACACTGCTTCGGCTCTGAAGTACCATGGAGGGTACGCACTGGCACTAAATGTCCCTTCAGCAATGGGGGACATCGCTGACTTCGGCGGGGAGGGGGGGGGGGGGGGGGGGGGTCGGTCTGGAGGAGGGGGGGGGGGGTTCACTGTCCACCCATTGTCAGCACACACTCCAGACATTCCTCGCGGTCCCCTGGCTGTCCACACTCTTCCACAGTATACAGGTGGCCTTTTGGGCACTGATACCAGTCTCGCCTCACCACATCCTCGGGCATCGAGAGCCGTTCAGCCCTGGAGAGCCACAGCTCCGTGCAGGGGTAGCTCTCCACCATCTTCTCCATGGCTCCTTTCAGCCCCAGCTCTGTCGCCTCCGTCAATTTCCCAGCCAGGTCCCCTAGGAGGGGGGCAACAGCCTTTGCCACCTCCTGTGCCCGTCCCTTGCTGCCTTCCTCCCCTTCCTCCTCTTCACAATAATGCACCAGCCTCTTCAGGTTGGCCAGGTAGGATATCCTGGCAACTTCATTCCTGCATTCGCTCAGCTGCTGATGGGTGAAGGGTGCCACCTTGGTATCTAGCCAGCAGTCCACCTTGGTTAGCATGATGTCCAGGCTCAGCTGGTCCTCTGGTGGGCACGCTCTCACCTGCTTCCTGACTGTGTCCAGGAACTGGAAGATGTCGAGAGCTCGCCCCAAGGCCTGCAGCTCTGGCAGTGTCTGCAAAGCCTCCACCTTCTTGCGGATGTTGTACCTTTGCTCCTTGTATTGCTGGTTAATGGAAGCTGCGATGATGCTATCCGTCAGCTGCTTCTTCATCTCCCCCACCTCGGCTGGGCTTCCCAGGACAACGCTCTTCATCTGGTTGATGCCGTGCCACCTCCTCTTGATGGCGTTGGCGTAGCGCCCGTGCCAGCGGATGGGGGTCTCGCACTTGGGGCAAGCCTCGAGGCAGAGGGGCCGAGGGCCCTCATCTATCAGGCGGTCCAGACCCCCAGCCTCCAGGACGTGGCCGCAGTCCTCCAGCGACACAAAGCTGGCACCGGGGTCGCCCTCCGAGCCGAAGAAGGGGGAGGTCAGTTCATCCAGGTGACAGGTGCGGCACAGGGAGGGGCACGACTCTCCACACAGGCCGACACAGGGGTGCCCACAGGGGAGCAGGCGGTCGCAGGGAAGGCTGCACCGGGGGCGGTCACACTCCTCCCAGCAGGCCCTGCTGCACTGGTGGTGCTGGCACTTCCAGGGGCATGGCTGCAGGCATGGCTCACAGATCTCACTGCACCTCTTCTGGCAGGTGCCATGCCAGCACCTGTTACTGCACGGCAGGGGGCAGGGTGGGCAGCTATCGGCGCAGGGTCCTTTGCACTGGTGACCGCAGAGGAGAGGCCGGCCGCATTTCCTCCTACAGCCTTGGTGCAGCTTGCCCTGCAGGCAGTCGGCACAGGTGCCCATGCAGGGGTGCCCGCACTGCAGCGTCTCTGTGCACTTGGCGGAGCACGGCAGCTTGGAACAGTCCTCGCTGCAGGGCTGCTGGCACCGGTGCCCACACTCCAGGAGCCTGGCGCAGGGCTGCTGGCAGGGCGTGGCCCCCAGAGGAAGGCCGCACTCTACCCGCTGCACGTGCCCACAATCTGGCACCACCTTCTCCACCACCTCCTTGCAGGGGCCGCAGACCTCCCAGCAGCGCTTGGGGCATCTGTGCCCTCTCTCGCAGAGCGATCGCCCGCAGAGCTCCTTGCAGCGGCTGCGCCGCTGGCCCGACCGGTGAAAATGGCAGCGTCGGCGGCAGCAGTGGCCACAGTGGAGGAGGGCACCGCAGGGACCATTGCACGTCCATTCAGGGGAGCGCTGAAACCCCTCTGGGGTCTCGACGATGATGTGTTTCGCTGGGTGGTTCGGGCAGGGCGCGGGAAGACCCTTCCCCGTCAGGCCCTTGGCCTTCAGCAGCCGAAGGAGCGATTCCCAGAGCTTCCTCTCGGGGCCCTGCAGCAGCCTCTGGAAGTTCCCCATGCAGTAGAAACCCATTTTGGCTCTGGAAAAGGCCACACACAAATGGTTCTTGTCCCCCAGGAGGTCAGGGCTCTCCTCCCAGTTACTGCGGACCAGTGACAGGAGGACTATGTCGCTCTCCTCACCCTGGAAGTCATCGACAGCCTTGACGGAGATAGAGGCCATGCCGTGGTCCCGGACCACGGTGCGGATCCTCCACATCTGGGCCATGTAAGGGGTCAGGATAGTGAGCTGCTCCTCCCTGTATCCCTGCTGCAGTAGGTAATGGCACAGCCTAGCCAGAAACTGGGCCTCGTGTTCATTGCTGTAGCCTCCAGCCTGGGTGCACTGATCCTCGTCCACCTGATGCTCAATGAAGAAGATATTTGTCACCAGGCCCTGGGGAGAAAGCAGGAGAGACGCACAGAGTCAGGACCCAAATCGCATTCTGAAACTGAGTGAGTAAGTAACAGTAGCAGAGTGCTAATGTCCAGTGAACCAGCGGATCAGGGAAATGCCTTTTTCAAAATACATTCACAGAATATGGGCAGCACTGACTGGGCCAGGACTCATTGCCTGTCTCCAGCTGCCCTTGAAAAGGTGATGGGGATCTGCCTTCTTGAACCGCTGCAGGTTACTTCAGCTCGAGGGGCACAGGTTCAAATCCCAAACAGCAACTGTGGGTACTCAAATGCAGTTAACTGATTGTTGTAAAAACCTGTTGGTCCCGTAATGTCCTTTAGGGAAGGTAATCTACTGTCCTTGCCTGGTCTGGCCTACATGTGACTCCAGACCGACAGCAATCCCGCCCTCTGAAATGGGTCTAACAAGATAATCAGTTCCAGGGCTATTAGGAATGGGCAACAAATGGCCAGTGAGAAATGGCCATGATCAAATTAAGAAAACCTCCCCCACCCAAGCCTAACCTTAACCCCTAATCCCTCGTCCCTTCTCCCCAGCTGAAGATAAACTACTTAACGGTGGGGGCCATCACGTTCAGTCATGAACCTGTCTTTCCCATTGGTCAACCTGTGACCCACAAGCCAACTGGCCCAAGCCTAAAGATGGAGAGGATGGTGTGGACAGTGGTGCTCCCCTTCAGCTGCTACCCTTGTCCTCATCAACAGGGCAATAGGAAAGGAACCCTGTGCAGTGTGATTACTTGGACAACTCTGTAAAGGGATGGATTAGACATGGTGGGCCAAATGGCCTTGATGTATTGTGTCACAGTGGCCAGTTCTCACAAGGATTCTCACCTTGATATCTTCATAAACTGATACTGAGCTGTGGTCTTCAAGGCTGGAGTAGAAAGTTGGGACCAGTAACTGGGAGATTTCAGGTCTCATTCGGTACTGGAAACAAACAGAAAAGAATTATCAAATCCCTACAGTGTGGAAGCAGGCCATTCAGCCCATCAAGTCCACCCCAATCCTCCCACATAGACCCACCCTCCCAACCCTATCCCTGAATTTTCCCATGGCTAATCCACCTAGATTTCACATCCCTGGACACCATGCGGCAATTTAGCATGGCCGACCCACCAAACCCGTGCACCTTTGGACTGTGGGAGGAACCCCACACAGACATGAGGAGAATGTCTGTGTGGTGTTTGCACAGTTGCCTGAGGTGGGAATCGAATCCAGGTCCTTGGCGCTGTGGTCCCATAGTGCTAACCGCTGAGCTGCTGGGTTCCTGTAGGTTAGCACAGCTCGTAACAGAACACTGCTGAGGTTTCTCGGTCAACACTACCATCTCAGCTGGTGATGCAGCATATTTATGCATGTCTGTACACATACATGTATCCATGTACATGTGTGTGTGTTTACATGTATCCGTATGCACATGTATATTGTATGAGTGAATGCACGGGTGTTTGTGTGTGTACATGTGTGAGTGGACCCCAGCTCCTGATGATCTGGGAGTCTTGCTCCCGTACCTGATGACTCAGCCGCACATATGGAATCTTGTTTCTAACCATCCGCTCAAACAGGGACACATCCAGATGGTACTGAGAGCCCACAGTGTGATCTGTTAACTTCGGTCTGAGCTGCACGAGATAAAATAACAGGAGAAATTGATGTGGACATAGTACTCTGATCCTAAGCGACATTCAACAGCCAACGATAGTTTCACAGTCACTATTACAGAGACTAGTTTTCAATTCCAGAGTTATAAACTGAAATCATTCATTCATCGAATATAGCCATGTTCAGAGCATTAGCCTGAGTCTGAAGATTACTAGTCCCAGTGTCATTCCCACTAGACCACCATCGCCTTTTCTCATTCCAATGCCACTTGGCCGCACAGAAACTCTTCCTTTATTCATTCACGGGATGAGGGCGTTGCTGACCAGGCAGCATTTATTGCCCATCCCTAACTTCCCAGAGGGCAGTTCAGAGTCAACCACATTGCTGTGGGTCTAGAGTCACATGTAGACTAGACCAGGTAAGGACGGCAGTTTCCTTCTCTAAAGGACATTAGTGAACTAGATAGGTTTTTCCCCCACAATCAGCAATGGATTCACGGTCATCATTAGACTCTTAGTTCCTGATATTTATTGACTTCACATTCCACCATCTGCCCTGGTGGGATTCGAACCCAGGTCCCCAGAACATTATCTGGGTCTCTGGATTAACAGTCCAGCGATAAAACCACTAGGCTATTGCCTCCCCAATGCTGTAATTGACTGCAATGGTTTATGAAGGCACCTCATCTCACCTTCTCAAGGGCAATTAGGGACAGACAATAACTGCTGACCTAGCCAGCAACACCCACAATGTTTTTTATTCATTCACTCATGGGATTTGGTGGGGGGGGGGGGGGGGGGGCGCTGCTGGGGTCACTGGCTGGGCCCAGTATTCATTCCCCGTACCCAGATGCCCCTTGAGAAGATAGGGGTGAGCTGCCTTCAGGACTGACAAAGGGTTTCGACCTGAAATGTTGACTTTCCTGCTTCTTGGATGCTGTCTGACCTGCTGTGCTTTTCCAGCTTGATAGCTACTGACAAAAAGAAAGGTGATGCCTTGTGCCCTGATCAGTGTTCGATCGCAGGCTCAAGCAGCAGAGGCTGTTGGAGGGAACTCCTTGGAGTACTGATGGCCTCTCTGGAACCAATTGAAACATAGAAGATAGGAGCAGGAGTAGGCCATTCAGCCCCATGAGCCTGCTCTGCCACTCAATATGAACATTGAGGTCTCCCCCTCGCCATATCCCATGATGCCTTTAGCCACAAGGGCTTTATCTACCTTCTCCTTGAAAGCACAGAATGGTTTGGCCTCAAACACTTTGTGTTAGACAATTCCACAGGCTCACCACTATCTGAGTGAAGACATTTCTCCTCATCTCAGTCCTAAGCAGAATTACCATTTATCAATAAACGATGACTCTTGGTTCTGGACTCCTCCACCATTGGGAACATACTTCCTGCTTCTAACATGTCTAGTTCTGTTAAAATTTTATAGGTTTCTGTGAGATTCTCCCCTCATTCTTCTAAACTCCAGTGAATAAAACCCCAAGTGACTCAATCTCTTCTCATATGTCAGTGCTGGCATTCTGGGAATCAACCTGGCAAACCTTCACTGTACTCCCTCTATAGCAAGAGCATCCTTCCTACTGCACACAATATTTCAGGTGGGACCTCACCAATATCCTGGATCATTGCAGCAAGTCACCCTTGTTCCTGTACTTGAATCCTCTCACTATGAAGGCCAACATACAGTCAATGGCAGGACCCTGAGGAGCATTGATATACAGAGGGATCTTAGGGTGCAAATTCATAGCTCCCTGAAAGTGGCAACACAAGTGGATAAGGGGGTAAAGGCAGCGTAAGGCATGTTTGTCTTCATCAATCAGGGTAATGAGCATAAAATGAGCTGCATAAAACTTTAGATAGGCCACATTTGGATTATGGTGTGCAGTTCTGCTCCCAACACTACAGGAAGGAGGTGGAGGTTTCAGAGACAGTGCAAAAGAGGTTTACCAGGTTCAAAAACAGAAGTTGCTGGAAAAGCTCAGCAGATTGGCTGGAAGAAAAAAAATCAGAGTTAACGTTTCGAATTGAGTGACCCTTCCTCAGAACTGATGGTAGCTGGGAAAAAATTGGTTTATATGCGGGAAATAGGGAGGGGGATGGGGTGGGGAGTAATTGATGAAACACCAGGAATGACAGCGAAATTAATGTCAGTGAACAGGACATTGCCTGGATTGGAGTGTATTAGCCATAAGGAGAGGTTGGAAAAACTTGGATTGTTTTCGCAAGAGCATTTCAGGCCGAGGAGCAACGTGAAAGAAGTATATAAAATTATGAGGCATGAACAGTGTGGATAGTCAGAGTCTTTTCCCTGGTGTGGAAATGTCAAATACTAGGGAGCATAGGTTTAAGGTGACAAGGGAAGAATTTAAGGGAAATATGCAAGGACAGTTCTTTTCTCCCCCCTACAGAGAGTGGTAGGTGCCTGGAACTCAATGCCAGAGGAGGTGGTTGAAGCAGATATGATAGCAACGTTTAAGGGGCTTTTAGACAGACACAGAATAGAGGGAGACTGACTATATTCAGGCATAGTAGGAACTGCAGATGCTGGAGAATCCGAGACAACAAGGTGCAGGGCTGGATGAACACAGCAGGCCAAGCAGCATCATAGGAGCAG